ACATCTACATTTATCCTCAATAAAAAAACAAAAATGCAGATGCATTGTCACCCCTGAAGTCTAAGATAGAATGACTTGTTTCCAGTAAAAAGTATCTCAGATTATCTACATTCACCATAGGACACCGCAACCATCGCAAAAATTATGCTGCTATTTTACGTTAGATTTTGGCGCTGTACTTTATTTTAATTGATGACCTTGTGAATTGAAAACAGTTTGAAAAAACTTTTTATGTAGTGAATATAATGACATGAATAAGATAAATTTTTACGGATTTTTCCCCGTTGCATCTAGCTATTCTCCTCTCTAGAAATAAAGTATATGCTTCAATTTTAGTAGCTTTTTATATTATCAGAAAAGTTTTTTCTTAAGCAGGAAGTCTGTAGTCCAGGAACATGTTTGAGATCACCTCCATTAATATATTTTTTGATAGATCAAATAATGAAATTTGATAGATCACGATTTTTCGGTGTAACTATGGCGAGAAGTCAATTAAGGAATATTAATAATTAAGAAAGCAATTTAATATCTAATCAATATATTAAAACTACTGCAGCCTCTAAAAACGACCTCAGTTAACGAATAGCCAGAAATTTGGAGTTTACCAATCTTCGTTACAAATTTAATGATTTTTTTTGTTTTGATTATATTAGTTTTAATTCAAACAATACTACAACACTGATAACCAAAAATCGAAAGTAAACTGATAGACCCAATATAAAACAATTGCAAGTTAAAATAACTACTTTGAAATAAAATCTTAAAATTAATATTTTTTTGTCTAAGACTGCCTCGTAAGTCTAGTGGTTGTAAACGCGACTGCAGATCGTGAGGTCCGGGTTCAAATCCCAGGCGAGCCAAAAAATATTTATTGAGTTTTTCAGTTAAAAATAAAATTCTCAGTAGCAGTCCGATCTCAGAATGTTGCACACCCCCGTGCTTTGGAAAGCACGTAAAGCCGTTTTTCCTTCGACTTATTACTCTTCGGTTATGTTACTTTACCGTCTTACCGGACTATGAGAGTGACGGAATGGAGAGTTCACTTGTGTTAGCATTTACACTTTGCACCATAATCCTGTCCTACGCCGCTGGCTAGTCTCCTTTGAGGTTGGCCGTCGAGACCAAAATTCTTTCTGGAGGACATAATTAGTTTATTGTTTACTTTCGTGTATTTAAGACTATACTAATAACTAATAAGTAGTAGCTTTTGTAAACGCCATTTTGAAAAGGTGAATAAACTAGACTTGATAGTCTAGTTTATTTTCGATAGTGATTATTACTATAGAATATCACAAGTCCTCTTCTGAACATAAGCTGCATAAATTGCCATAAAGTACGGTACTGAGCCAACTGCACTCCATCTGAGTTAGAATGTTTTTTCTCCATTGTTCTTGGAGCTATTCAAATAAGTATAATCTAATGAAAATAAAAGAGTGTAAACCAAGTAAACAATTGTTAAGAATTACTAACATTTGGCCTATTATTAAGATACTACTACTATTATCAAGAATTACTAACACTTTCACATCTCGCAATAACTTCGTTAAGAAAAAAAGTTTTTTGTTTATTTTTTAGTGTTTGCTTATCCTAGTATTATTTTCTCTCAGACAATCGAGATCATTAAAAAGTGTAGACGTCAAATATTAGTCGGTTATTTTGCCATAGTAATTTTTTACTCGTTTTACGCGCACAAATTTACGCTCCCTAACGCTTTTAGCATTATACCCGTTTTGCATTTGTACTTTGAATTGGTCGTTATAGAACTGTTCAAGAACCAGCAGGTACTTAACCTTCTCATGAACAGGAGGCACCTTACACGCTACACAATTTTTTTCATAATTTTCTTTACAAGCAAGTTTTGTTTGTGGTTTTAGCTTACTGATATACTATGGGCTATATCAATTACTCTTGTGCTTCCGAAAATATCCCCATTATGGATTTAGCCCGTAGGGACATTCCGAGCATAGCCTTCCCAACGCACGCTGATTGACTTCAAGCTTGCATACACGGCCGGTTGACACGCACTCGATGTGAAATTTTGCCTTAAGGATATATTCATGTTATAAGCGCTGACTAACTCAAAATAATCCTTTTCAAACCTGTTAATGTTCATCAACCGCTTATTTTACACAAATGATAATTACTTATAACTTTAGAAAGTTTTATGGTCTAAATAATCATAAGGGAATTTTTAATATTAATACAATAGTTGTGGATTCTATTAAGAAAACTAAATATAGGTTTTCATTTTAGCGTCAATTTGATAGCTTAAAATATTTGAAATCACTGATGAGTTCACTAATATAACAATAGCTTAATTTATTAGACGAACATCATTTTAAGGTTCCGTATCCAAATTTAAACAAATGGGGCCAAATTACTAAGCCTCCGTCCGTTCTTCCATCCGTCCGTCCGTGTCTGTCCATCTGTCTGTAGGTCAGCGGGTTGTATCTCATGATCCGTAATGTATAGACAACTGAAATTTTCACATAATGTGTATTTCTGTTGCCGCTATCACAACTATTAATAAAAAAATAATTAAAATTAAAGGGGCTCTACCACTAGAAACGTAATTTACGATGGTATGTAACCCATCTTGCGCGAGTCCGACTCGCATTTGGCCGGTTATTTAACCCATTCCCTTTGAAATTTAAAAATAAAACAGCTTTATTATTTTTCTATAAATATTTTAAAAATACTTTAAAACTCCACGTTTGGATCATTTCAAGTTAGACAGCCGTTTGTCATTCCAGAGGAGGTCACGTCGCTGAGCGACTCTCTCTCATCTCTCGTATCTGGTGGCTCTCGTCTCTCTCGTGTCGATTGTCTCTCGTGGCTCAGACAGTTACGTTATGTAACTACTCAATACTTGTAAAATTCATAACGCCTTAAGTCGTCTATACCAACAAAGAAATAAAAACGAATCGCTGCGTTTATTTCAAGGGATTCAAAAACCAAGCCGAAACCATGCTCAGCTTATTGCAAGAACATACATTCACGTAAATGTATGCATCTAAAATCATTTGTAACGGTTAACATGGTATTTGGGTGCTTCCATGATCCAAGAAAGAAAAACGTGTATGCGAGAGTGCGTATCAAGAAGTTGGGCATGCTTTCGGCTTCTTAAGTGAGTACACAGCGCTCCGTCGCTGCGTACATTTCTTAAAATACATTTCCTTCCTTAGTTGGTCTGTGCAAGTATCAAGTTTAGTTAGGTACTAATACATCAAATATGGCAGAAAACTATTTCAATGTGCGCATGCGTAAGTCACCTTGCAGTGCGAATATATCTTAATTTGAGCACGTCAGAAATGTAACTACGTCCTTTAAATTTTAATAAGATAATATAAACAGATTTTAGGCAATGATGAATATGTGGATTTAGCTTATTATGATTTTGCTGAAAAACAACAATTCATTCATTCATTACAGACCGATAGATCACCTAATGTTTCTCACATTTATCATAGTTACAACTGTTGGCGTGAAATGTGTAGCGGGTTTGTGACAAGCTTTTTCACTTTTAAGTTGTTAAGAAAATGATAGTGCCCACTTACTGTTTTATTTCCCCCTGTCATCTCTTATGACACCCACGGGATGATAAGGGTTAGTGCATTATATGCCGCTACTACACGGGTAGTTTCCTTCTGATGGTATATTTTTATTTACATTAACAGTAAACGTGAAACTGAATATTTTAATCCCTTGTAAGTCTTTGAAATTCAATTCACAAAGTCATTTTATTTGAATAACAAAACTCGTTTCCAGAACTCCAATTTCATTTGCAATTCTCATTCAATCGGAATTCTGTTATTTTTTTACCAAATTGAATTTAATTAATCTTTGTTATTCTGTTATTATTAAGACACATTGAGTCTTATTTCAAAATGTAGATTTCAATTCGTCTCAGGCGTAAACTAGTTTCAAGGAAAAAATCCTTTAGAAGTGTGAGAACTAAAATTTTAAATATTGAATGTGATAAAAGTGAATGATTTCTCCCCGTGACTATTGGTCTGTAAAGCATCCAAAACAAATAATTAAACGTGATAAAATCAATATAAATAGTTATATTCTATGTGATAAAAGTTAGTTAGACTTTTACAACAAAATGTAAAATTACGCTAAGTTCTATGTGGTAAAAATTCCTTATCTTCTCTCTAAAATACCTCTTTAAGCTGGACATTATCACCAAAGACCCATGTTTTGTAAATAAATAGAATATCTTTTTTTAATTTTAACGTTTGTTTTTTGTTTGTCTTTGGGAAATGACTACATATTTGTGCCATTTGCTGTAGAGACTATCGGTCCGTGGGGTCCACGTGCAGTGAAGTTCCTAAAAGAACTGTATCCACGACTGGTCGTTGCTGCTGGTGATAAGAGGGCTGGTTCTTTCCTCGCTCAAAGGCTTAGTATAGCTGTTCAGCGAGGAAATGCAGCCAGCGTTCTTGGCACTATACCACGGGGTGCAAGACTTTTTGACTATTTAAATTTTTAGTTTTAGTTTTTATATGTTATAGTTTCTTTTTTATATTGTGTATAATTTGAAACTTAGGTACTACATCACATAAATGTGTTTACAATATAAAAATTAATTCCAAAAACTCTAACGCGTCTCGAATGTTAAGCAATTTCCACATAGCTCTCCTTTTTGCACTCTTTCGTTGTGTAAGATTAAATAAAAATGTAAAAAATTACTTAAATATGTCGGTTCATTTAAAATTCACTGTTTTTTAAGAAACTTAATATGGCCATATAATATTTTTTATTTTGAACATAAACTGCTAGGTGGTAGGACTCCTTTTTTTGCATTGGACTATACAGAAAGAAATTCTCGGCATAACCTGGAATTTGAACCCGGGACTTTATGATCAGAAGTCGCACTTACGAAGGTTAGACCAACGAGGCAGTCAATAAACCCGTGTAACAGTATATTAATAAGGTTTTTGCAAAAACCATATGAGTACAAACAAATAAATAAACAGATTCTTTTTATTTTGCAGATGGAAACTTCAGAAGCGAGGTAGAAGAACGGGGGCGCGGCACGGCGCCAGCGTTTCTTCAAGAATTGCATTCAACGCTGGCACCCGCTGTCGCGCCCGGTCAAGACTGGCACCACACCTTCATTCTCGTCCTTAAAGGCTTGGTGTTCATCACAATTATCCTCGGTGCCCTCCTTGGAAACGCGCTCGTCATCATATCAGTTCATCGACACAGAAAACTACGCGTCCTCACCAATTACTACGTCGTCAGTCTTGCCGTTGCAGACATGTTGGTTGCGTTATGCGCGATGACATTCAACGCTAGTGCTGAACTAACTAATGCCTGGCTCTTCGGACCTTTAGTCTGTGATATATTTAACTCGCTTGATGTGTATTTCTCGAGCGCTTCTATATTACACCTTTGTTGTATATCAGTAGACAGGTATTATGCCATCGTTCGTCCTTTGGAATATCCTGTTACTATGACACACAGAACTGTTTGTTTTATGTTAGCTAACGTATGGCTGTGGCCTGCTTTTATTAGCTTTGTTCCAATATTCATGGGGTGGTACACCACTGAACAGCATCGACAATATCGGAAACATCATCCAGACGTTTGCGTGTTCAAAGCCAATATGGTGTACGCAATCATTTCGTCTAGTGTTTCTTTCTGGATACCTAGCGTGGTTATGATTTCTATGTACTGCAGGATTTTCAGAGAAGCTATTAGACAGAGAGAAGCGTTAACAAGAACTTCTTCAAACATTCTTTTGAATTCGGTCCACATGAGGCATACAGCTCACACTGCTCATCATTCTCACTACCTTCATCCAGACAGAAGACCATCGGATATCAGTCCCAATTACAGCACTTTCACAGAAGTCGGTCCTGAGGAAACAGAATTTGGTGGGGAAGTAATGGCATTAGGAGATATATGTCCCAGTAAAGAAGCAAGTCCCAGAAAGTCTTTTAACGTCAGTTGCGATACAGCGAGCTCTGGATATTGTTCTGGAGGATCCAATAAGAGATCGTCAAGTGGACAACCACCTATAGGGTGGAGGCCAAGTTGTTCATCTGCAGCCGCTACAAAAGATTTAGCTAAAGCAGCTACAGAACTTAATTCGCAAGGTATATTGGTATATTGTTTTGTATATAAATAGGTCTTAAGCTTATAGATTATTTTTAGGATATAATGGCCAAATACTCAAACGCTACTAAATTTAAAGATGTCAATCAATCAATTGAAAAAATTTACATTGGTGAGTACTAGTGCCGTGTATTGGTGGAATAAGCGACTAGCCCATATCATCCCTTAAGTGTCGTATGCGACGGCAGAGGGAAACTGAAGCAGAAGATTGTCAGCAGTGTTAACTTGAGCAATTTAAAATAAAATAAAACTGCTCTTGCTTACCCGCCTACCAAGGGTCAAAACTATGGTGAATATTTTCTGAAACCAGGGGGGGAGGATTATAATTAAAACTGCTAATTGTAATTTTAAGTGCTGCTTTATGACGTGGTCAGAAATTATGGAAAATATTGTCAGAAACCATGTTTGACAAATTAAATATAACGAGGACGTGATATTAATATCGCCAATTAGTATATTATACTTTGAATGCTTCACAGTAAATGTAATAACTACTATCTATATCACGAGAGCATTAGCTTGGCCTGCACGTTTGTATATATGTTCCACGTAGGTGTAATGAAATTATGTAATTCAATTTCACCCACTTCCGTACTAGTAAATAACCCTTAATAATTTTGTAGACTTAAAACCAATGAAAATACAATCATTTCATTGATAACGGTAATACTTTCTCACTTAGATAACGGCAAGACGTTATTAATGCGTATAGTTTAAGATGTTTTTTATTTATTATCTATATCATTATTAACATTAAAATTATCAAAGGCAAACTGATGAATAAAAAAGTGAAACACCTATACAGACTTGCGGAAAAATGTCTTTATTAAAAAAATAGGTTATGCAATAGTTATTTAAATTCACAGGAGCTACTCTCAGAGCCGCAGGAAAATCCTGGCGAGCCGAACATAAAGCGGCGCGGACGCTTGGAATAATCGTTGGTGCTTTTTTACTGTGTTGGTTGCCATTCTTTTTATGGTAAGTTATTTCCACTGCTGTTTTTAATGTTTTTCGCAGCGTCTTCCTGGTAATAAATGAAAATTAAAAACTGTGGTTGTTAATCCACCTGAAAAGCGTGGTAACTGTAAACAATCTACGGGGAGGTCTATGTTCAGCTGTGATTATTTTTAGGTTGTTACGATAACAGTGTACACAAGATAACAAAAATACACACACCTGGTGGTAAGTGGATGCTGTGACCGTTATTCACCTAAGTCTATCCTCAAATCAACATGAATATGTATTGACATTACGGAAGACTGAGATAAAATGCCTCTTTACCAGTGTAAACGATATTTGTTACCCATCATTAAAACCTCAGCAGCATTTTGCTACAATTCCATGCTTTGATTCTGTGCAAATGTCCTTCCCCGGTCGAACTGATCCATTTGTGATGCAGCTATAATACAGCGTGGCATATATAAGCGTCATTTATGGTTAAAAATTCAATCACTATCATAACAAGTCCACAACTGAACAATATTTGAAAACATAGTATTGAATCCTCTGATTAAGTTATATTTAAGAAAAGTTTCTGTAGTGGAAACTTGATTTTGACATGTGTGGAGTGTATGCCAATACCATATTAGCACACCAAATAAAATAGAATAAATTTGAACAGAATAGTCATTATTTAAAATAGCCTACAAGAACAATTATTAAAATTCATTATTACTTTTATCACTTGTGCGGAAAAAGCTCTGTCCCGGGAAGAACTAGCAAGAAACCCAACAGGAATTATTTACTACTTATAACTGACTTATAACTTACAATGTAATTTGTTGTGCATTGAGGCGATCTGAAAATATCACGAGTATCGAATTATTATTTTTAGTATAGTAGACAAACTTGGTTTAACATTTGCGTGGTAGAGCCATGTTACTGCTAAATTGTGGTTGAAGCACGAATGAGTCGGCTCGACCGGAAAAGCACCACGCTCTCATAGAATACCAGCGTAAAATAGCAGCAAAATTTTGCTGTGTTTCTTATGGTGAGTTGAAGAAACAGATACTTTTTTTACCGGAAACGAGTTATTCCATCTTATTCCTCAGGGAAGACAATGCGTCTGTATTTTGATTACTAACTGAGGATATATGTAGATTTCTATACACCATAGTATCTACTTATCATTAAGTGGACTGTGTGTTCGTTCGTTATCCTTATTCTATAAAAAAGTTTTTAATTCTTCGTTAGCTCTTCAAAGTTATCAGTTGGATATATAGCCCTTCCCTTTGGATGTATGATTTGATTAATCTAACACTTGGTAGGCTATTTGACAATTGTGATACCAGACGCACCTTGACACTGCCGCCCGTCGCCAGTTTGAGTATATTGCTTCTCACTATACATAACAACCTATAAAAGTCCACTGCCAAATATAGGCCTCGCCAAATATTGATCATTGGGACTTCGTCATAGTTGCCACATTCGGCACGTGGGCTGTTAACCGCAGTTTTGTTATTATTTCAAGTTGCTATCAGAAAATTGTCCTGTTCAGTTTTTTATATAATCTGTTACGACACACACGAGACAACATGTGGTTGTGGGTATTCACCGCCACCACACGTTTTGTACGTCTAGTGTAAATCAGATGTCTTTACCGCCATCTATCGAACGCCATTAGAATGTTTTGTCACGCCTCGCCTTTTAAGACAACCAGAAGATGAAATGCGATGATCTTATGTAGCAAGTTGTTATTTCAATACTCATAACAACCTGGCCAGTTTTACTGCTGAATGTAGGCCTGCCAAATATTGTGCCTCGTATGGGGAATTTTACTATAATTGCCACACTTGACAAGCGGATTGTTAACAGCAGTTTATTGTGATTTCGCGTTTTTTTTTAAGGAGACGCTGCTGCCCGTCTCTTATTTTAGTAACCCGCTATCGCCTCTTAAGACATCCTCGAGGTGATGTGGGGCAGTGTTTTTTTTTTATAATTGGTACTAAATACATATTAAAATTTGTTAACAGGTACGTAACGACAAACGTATGCGGCGAGCCTTGTGAAACACCAGATGTAGTTGTCGGAGTACTGTTCTGGATAGGATATTTCAACTCAGCACTCAATCCGCTAATATACGCGTATTTTAATCGTGACTTTCGAGACGCGTTTAAAAATACGTTGATGTGCACTTTGCCTTGCTGCTTTAGCTGTTGGAAAGACACTGGTGGGTCACACTTTGTGTAGCAATAATGTTAAAAACACAGCTGTGGTTAAATAGCAGTGTGTTATACTGCTACAAATAGCAGCGTGGTGGTTAAGACTTTACGTTAAGATGTGGTATGCAAAGAAATTTATTTCGTTGGGTATCGAAAAATTATTGTTTTGAAAAAGGATAACGAATAAATATTAATTATTCTGTAAATAACTTAGTATTATAAATTACTTTTATAACATTTTGAAAAAAGTATTATTATTTAGATTAGTTAAATTAAACGCGATAAAATACATAAAATTACTTGTTTTATTGAAATAATCGAAAGTGTTGAGAAGGAAATGAAATTGTTGAATACAATTTGATTAAATTTGTATTAAGTTTTAAGACATTCATCATTAATAAAATTGTATAATTTTGTTATTATTTTTAAAGCAATTTCTATTTGCAAAATAAATTTTCTTCTTTGTTTTCTGAAAGAAAATTCTAATTATTTTTTGTTTTGAAAAGTACTGAGAAATTTTATTTCAAATCACTTTCTCTATATAATGAGTATTTTTAATACAGTAATGTATAGTGATATTATCATAGTATTGTGTGTAATTTAGCAATAACTTACAAGGAACTTGATAAGCTTTTAATTGTAATATTTGCACGTAATGATGATATTTTTCCCGGATGTGTGTGTTTGTGTGTGTGTGTGTGTGTGTGTGTGTGTGTGTGTGTGTGTGTGTGTGTGTGTGTGTGTGTGTGTGTGACTCGTTATAATAAAATATATTATGCTTAGACTAGAATAATAACGTTTGTATTAATGTCCGTTTCCCTTAATATTAGTGCAGTTTTAATAGTTTTAGTGACACACACACACACACACACTTGCACATATTTCAGTGTAGATCTGACGTAAGAGTTTTAGACAACTTTGATAAAGATTCATAAAGGAAATTTCCGGTAACCGGTGTTAGGAGAGGTTGCAGAGGTAATACTACGCAATGAAATGAAATGAACTAAAATTAGATTTAAGTATACAATTATTTCGAGAAAGTAAATAAAATGTCGTATGTCAAATGTTATTTACTAAAGCTACTTAGTAAAAAACTATGCAAAAATTCAACCTACAAACGGGCTGGTTTTGTTCAAGCGTGTGTTTAAAATGATGATTCATAATTATAACCAAACGTAGTAATTATATATTCTTTAGTTTGTATAACATAAATACGAGTGACCTCAACGTTTTACAAAATTAGTGTCGTTTTTTACTACTTTAGGGACCTTAATTTTCCATGATGATTAGATTTAGATTCCAGAATAGAAAAGAAAAACATTTATTTGCAGTGAATTAGATTAGCAGTTATATAACTGATTAAATTTAGGGGCTGGGGTAATAATACAATGTGCATTGTTACAGAATTCAGAATTTTTATTTGTATTTTAACTTAATATTTGCGTGTAATGACGATATTTTTTCCAAAAATACAGCGTTATGTCTTGCAATGTTCACTTTCACAGCAAAATATGATTGCGTAATCGCTTCCATTTTACCGGTTAAATCATAAGATGTTGTCGTATCATGAAATGCCCAGGCAGTTCACGATCTGCCCAGCTCTACGATCGAACTGCGACAAATATAGAGATTTAATATGGCTTTAGGGTTGAATGAGCAATTATTTATGGAGCATTACTGCGACTGACGCAAAAAACAACATTTTACTATGATGAATATTTTTTTAATTACTGGGTCAAATAAGTTGACTTTAAATACTAAGAATAATAAGTTGCCACAGTACCCAGCAACATAAAGATATTTTCAAACTGTATTAGTACACGCTTAAATGTAAAAGAAATCTCGACAACAAATGAAGTAGTATCTTGGCGCTGGCCATTGAAGCAGTTTATAACTTAAGAGTAAACGCTTGTAAAAGTCGTAGAAGTGGGAGCGTACCTCCTCTATTTATAAAGGCGATAATTGAATCAAAAAAGTACGCGCCAACAACTATAAATTTTTTTCTCGAACAAAGTTTGCTCAAAAACCAAAAACTTTTTCTTCATAATTTTGTTATACACGGGTAGACCGAAAATTGTTGGGCACTTGAATATTAATAGAAAACTCCCAAACTCCTAAGCTCGAACTCTCCTTATATACAACTTAATGACTGAAATGAACTTAATGACGGCCTTACGCATAAAATCGACGTCAATTTTGTCTTTTTTATAACTTTATATTAGTTTAACTTTTGTATTTTATGTGTTGGTCTGTTATTATGTTTGATAAATTTTTTACAATTTAAGTTCTTAGCATTTCGTAATATAATTTCATCATGTAATTAAATTGGTTAAAATAAACGTGAAATAAATGACTATTAAATTTAATATTATTAATTTTAGAATTGCTTAAAGTTGCCCTCTCACTCCCTCTCCCTCTCTCTCTCTCTCTCTCTCTTCACTAAACGATAATAGACATCGAGATAATTTTTACTTAACTTAAGTAAGCGACAGTCAACAATTATAATTTTAAAATATTATAATTTTTTATTCAATACATAGGTAAAATATTTGTTGTATTTTATTATTTTATTTTATTTGCTAGCATTTTTAATATATTTCTATTACAATATGCATTGTAATGGATATGTGGAATAAGCGCGACATATTATGTGTAATTAATATAATAACTATTCCTTTTATTATTTATTTATTTATTTAAGAATTGCTTACGGTACGGTTACCTTTACTTTACTAAATGGTGATAGAAAAGGATACAGATAGAAAGGATAAAGATAAAATTAATACTTTAGTTAGCGACAGTCCGTAATAATTAATGAAATGCACAAATGATTGTTAAAAGTGAAACACCAATTACCTAATATAAATGCCTAATATAACAATATTTCACAAGTCCACTGCCAAAAATAGGACTCCCCTATAAGTAAATACTATACAACATGGACTTGAGCCACTTGTTCAATTCACTTCCTGTAACTCTTACAAGTTTTCACTCCATTTAGTGGTGTACAGATCTAAAATGTTCTGTAAAGAATCAGAGCTAAATATAAATAAATATAAATATAGTGTCTGTTTCCATTTATTTGCAAATCCACGCTACACCTAATGTTATCTGGGTACTGTGGCCCATATGTACGTCTATCGTTATCCAACATGGAACACTTGGTTACCAAGGGTATCTGGTTCTAATCACACACCATTCGAAAACAGTAATATTGTGCTATTTAAAGCAGGTTTCTTTGCATGCGAGATCCTTCCCCGGCAGAATTAAATCCATTATTGAGGCGTTTAGTAATATGGTGCTCATATAAGGCAAAACATAAATTTTAGCACGTAAATGTTAAATTCTAAAAAGTGATAAATTAGTCTTAACTTTGTGCTTATTTGAATTATTCATTTAGTGCAATTACGAGCTTTAATTATTTCATGACAAAATTTGTTAATAAGAAAACTAAAAACACGCCAAATTTAAAACTATCTCAAATATTTATTATTTTTTCTACTGTATCTTTTTTGGAGGTTCTCAATTTCACTATGATTTCCAAGGTCAGTGAAACGAATCAGTTAATATTTTTATCAAAAAAAAAAAAACTATTAGAATGTTAAACCACATACATTTCAACCAGATTTAATGATAGCTTATGTAATATATTTTTCAACCAACTTCAAAATGGAGGAGGTATTCAATTCGACGGTATGTTTTTTATGTGTGTTACCTCAGAAATTTTTTGAGTGAAATGATGTCGTGATTCTTTTTTTATGTAATAGCTGGTGTTTTTCGTTTCCCATAAAAATTTGATCAAGATCTGACCAGTAGTTTTTGAGTTATCCTTAATAATGCGTATTTAATTGACTTCGAATACACTGATGATATTCCCATTTTATTAGGGTTCCGTAGTCAACTAGGAACCCTTATAGTTTCGCCATGTCTGTCCGTCCGTCTGTCCGTCCTCGCTTAATCTCTGTGACCGTTAGCACTAGAAAGCTGAAATTTAGTACCAATATGTGTATCAATCACGCCGACAAAGTGGTAAAATAAAAATTGGAAAAAAATGTTTTATTAGGGTAGCCCCCCTATAGGTAAAGTAAGAAGTAATTTTTTTTAATTTCAACCCTAACGTGTGATATATTGTTAGAAAGGTATTTAAAAATGAATAGGGGTTTATTTAAATCATTTTTTGATAATGTCAATAATTTCGGAAATAATTGCTCCAAAAGTAAAAAACAATGTGTCCCCCCCTCTAACTTTTGAACCATAAGTTTAGAAAATATGAAAAAAATCTGAAAAATAGAACTTTATAAGTACTTTCTAGGAAAATCATTTTGAACTTGGATGGAAACAACATTTTTTGTACAAACTCATAAGTGGGAACACTTATTGTGACGGACGGGAAACTACGGAACCCTACACTGAGCGTGGCCCGACACGCTCTTGGCCGGTTTTTTCTTTCTTATGAAGTTGGTTGTGCAAATTTTTTAATCGCTATATCATAATAAATTAATTCTTTATTTTCAAAACTGCTCAATATCCCTGCATTAAGTCAGAAACGTGTTCAATTATGCCGGCCAGTCAACCGTTTTGTTGATTATTATTGTCTATCTTACTGGCGTCAAACACACATATAATATTATGCTCTCTGAAACTAATAAGATTTCGTTGAGGCAACTAGATATTTTGAGTTTATTAAAGTAAAAGTAAAGTTACAGCCTATATACGTCCCACTGCTGGGCTCAGGCCTCCCCTCATTTCTGAGAGGGTTTAGGGCAAGGAAGTGTCCGCCGCGCTGCCCAAATGCGTGTTGACGAACTTCACATGTCTTCGAAATATTTTTTTTTCTTATTCCTCAGACATGCAGGTTTCCTCACGATGTTTTCCTTAACCGCCGAGCACGTGGTAAATCAGCACTTAAAATTGCAATTAACAATTTCATTGGTGCCGGCGGGGATCGAACCCGGGTTACTAGCGTTCTGTTATATTTACAGCGAGCGTTAACCACTGAGCAACCACGGCTCTTGAGTTTATTAGACT